AATGCATTTTAAAAATTCAACTGCAATGTATTTTACATAAATCATGACATGGTTGCTCAGAACAAATCCACCAACCTTGTAATGAACAATTACATGAAGGGACTGGTATTCCACCATATCCCTCCATAGAAGGAATCGTGTTCTTACATATGAGGAGATGTTAGTGAGACCGTGATCAGATTTAATGTATTTGGATATTAAGTTTAAACCAAGCATGAAAATGGAGAAGAGATGTGATTCAAGTAACAGTTTACAGAGAAGATAAATTACAGAGAAACAGCAGTTCTCTAGGCAAAAATGCCTTGTTGATGTCAGAGTTCAGAGAAGAATGGTCAGACTGCTTCAAGCTGATAGGACAGCAACAGGAAGGCAACCTCTGGACTGTACAGCATAGAAGATCTCACTGAGTGCCAGTCTTGTCAGCTAAGAACAGGAAACTGAGGCAACAATTTACAGAAGCTTACCAAACCTGGACAACAAAAGACTGGAAAAAGCATTTCTTACTCTGTTGAGTTTCAATTCCTGCTGCAACATTTGGATAATTGGTTCAGGATTTGATATAAACAACATGAAAACATGGATCCATTTTACTGTATATTACTGGCTCAGGCTGGTGGTGTAATGGTGTGGTGGATATTTTCTTGTCATACTTTGGGCCCCTCAGTACCAACTGACCATTGTTTGAACACCATAGCCTACCTGAGTATTGTCGCTGACCATGTCCATCCCTTTGTGGCCGCAGCATACCGCACCACGTCACAAAGCTTAAATCATCTTAAACCGGTACATGGAAACAAATTCACTGTACTCAAATAGCCTCCACAGTCACCAGATCTCAATCCAGTAGAGCACCTTTGGGATGTGGTGAAATGGCAGAGCCCCATCATCTCTGCAACCCACATCGAGACAACATATTTTGAATACCAGAAGAAGAAACGTGTTAATATGTTTGAATATGAATTTAGCGCGAGTTTAACACATCTATTGATAGGGAAAATGGTTCCAGACAAAGAGCAAAAAGATTTGACCAGTAGATTTCTTACAAAGACACGAAACTGGACTCAGCCTCGCATTACATAAAACCAGTCCACCTTGGAAGAGTTGAGAGAGTAAAAATGTCTCTGTCCTCATTACTGACACCCAAGCTGCCAGTTAACAAAATGCTTGTGCAATGCCCATATTGAGCCCACTGAACCATTAGTGGTTTGTACAAATGCAGCAGCACAGTTATTTCTTTAACAAAGAAAAGAAATTGTGATGAATTATAAGTCCAAGTCCCCTGGTCCTGCTTTCCATCAGCCTTTCAATTATGGTCACAATTTAGGTCACAAGTCACTGCCTTACATACACTGACCTCATTCAAGCAAACCATCCTCTATTTCCCTTGGTATGCTCTCTGTCTGTCTCACACTCACTCACACACTGATAAATCCCCGCTAATGTTGTGCACAGAATCAATTAGAGACCAGGAGGCAACGAGACAATGAGGTTGCATGTGGGATAAAGACCTATATTCAGCAGACCTGTGTAAGGCACATCTCGCTCTTTGTGGCCCGCGTTCTCTGCCTCTCCACCATTTTCCCATTGTCTCCAAAGCAAATCTGCCCTCGTTTTCTGTCTGTTCTGAGATAAAGAACGATGCACAGCTGCAGACTGAAGCTGACCCCGGGCCAGCAACCACAGAGCAGGGGTAGAATTACTGCAGGAAAAATGTTAAACTGGCAGAGACTGCCCCCCGCCCCCCAACAACTACAAAAAAAAAAGCGGATGGGAGGGGGGCGATAATGAAAAACACATGGTGTGGGAGGAAAATGAGCTAACGGGGGTCTCTAATTCTGCTCTACTTTTTCATGCAGACACGCAACAGCTGCCTCCTGCTGTGTCCAGCTATGCGGTGACCTCACGGTGAAACTGCATTTCTTTTACTTGGTGTCTCTTGGGTCAGTGCAGCTGTACAGCCTCACCTTGCCTTGTGGAGACGTTTCTCTCGTTGCCTGCAGTCAGCACGACCTGCGCGTGGCTGCGCTCCAGGCCGAACTGTTCATCCTTTCCCACCCGGGTGCTCCTCCCAGACTTCATAGTGCCGGTGGGGCCTACGGGGGCCAGGTAGCGACCGTTACAGTCGCGGAACGCCACTTTCCCGGAGTGGAACTCGAGCATGTAGCCGGTATCCTTGTCCGTTGCGGTGGACAGGTTGCCGTCGTTGCGCAAAAACCGGTTGTCAGAAGTCTCGAGGTGGTAGCGCTGATCGCGGTACACCAGGGTCACAAGCGAGTCGACCCCCCAGGGGACATCCCGATCTATTGACACCTCCTGCCGGGCGCTCAGGTGGGCGAAGCGCTTGCGGGCGAAGCTGTAGAGGTTGACCTGCGGGTGCACGGCCAGGTGCATGCTCCATCTCTCCGCCGGCGAGGCGGTCTGCGCAAAGCAGGTGATCCGGTCCTCGCTGCCACCGAGGAAGCGGCCGTAGGGCTCGGACTGCAACGACCACCGCCCGTCCTCGTGCACCGTTATGACGAAGCGGCAGTCCCGCTCGCGCGTCTCGCTGTCCGCGGTAACGTTGCCGTCTTTGTCCGTGGCGAGGTAGCGGCCCAGGTGGGACAGGAGGAACACGGCGCTGTCGTCTTCCCCTGTCTGCTCCAGGGTCCACGTCTGCTTCTTCTTCAGGCTGCTGGCCGAGGCGTTGATTTTGAAGCCGAATGTTTCCGCAGTCAGATACTTGCCCTCGCTGTTGATGAGGCCCAGAGGGATCTGCAGCAGGTCCCCGTCGGCGCCGTTTGAGGACATGATTGCAGCTTGACAAGAGGAGCAAAGAAAGAAGATGCTGGTCTTATAGAGAGGGATAGACAGACGGACAGAGGGAGGGAGAGAGACTGTGGGGGTGTTTGAAGGAGAGAGAGAGCTGCTGCTGATGGTGCTGATGGTGATCAGTGTCCCCTAACTGGGTAAAAATCCGGACTGGCTCGCTGGAGCTGCAGGAGTTGCAAGCTTGTGAGTTTTTTTTTTTTTCAAGGCAGTACACGCCCCAGATACAGGCAGAGGAGCTGGAGGGAGATGACTGCAATTTTGACAAACCACTCCACCCCTGCATTGATCTTCACATAGCCCCACACATATAACCAGTATCATCCACACCATCAGCACTAACTTTTCCATTGCTCCTGGAGAACTCTGCTAGGTCCATGTGGATTCACCACCTAACAGATTTAGTATGTTTGTGCTGGAAAGAGGCAGAAAAAGGCCATTTTCTGACAATGTCAGCATACAGAAGGCCATGTGCTGGGATCTCTTATGAGTCAAATGTCCCCTCTGAATCTGATGTGGGGTAGTTTGTAGTTTAATGTTCTCTTCCCCCTGTAGTTTTCACAAAATCTGTGCTGAAAAAAAAAATTACCAAACAAAAGCTACTGAGTGTGGAACAATGCAAACATTGTGTTTTCACACATGAACATCGGAGAGATCAGAGACGAAAGTGCGAATTTACTCAGTTGTTTCCCTTCATTGAAATTCCACCCATTTTCCATCCTGTAGTCTGATCAGCCCTTCCGTCCTTCTCCCCCGTGCTTTGTCATAACTCCTGTCTACACCTATACTCTGAGAGAGAAAGAGAGAGAGAACGGCGGGTGCTTATCCTTTCCTCACGCCCACAACCCCAGGAGAGCTTTCTAAGGTATAAAAAGCTCCATGAGAAGCTAAATGAAGCTTTTCTCTTTTCTTCTTCTTTTCTTTTCCAGTAGTTGAACATATAATCGATTATGGTAATGGTGTTTTGATTTTGTACCGCAAAGTTATCTTCCTCACAGCTATAAGCCAGTGAAGTTTTCTCACAGCAGCTTTGCCTGTGTAGAGCTAAAAACCTTAATTCCTAATGTAATTCGAGGATGTAGTTGAAAGACGGGATAGTTCATGAACAGTTCACTTTGTATGCATACATTTTCAGTTACTTGGTTTTAATTTAGGGAGATTAGTGGCTTGCAAATTTGCTGCATGAAAAATTGGTGTGCTGCTGAGTCAGTAACCTGATAAAAATCAGGAAAATCTTTGACAACTTTTCACTTTAAGCTTTTGATCTTTGATAACTGTAAAACAAACTGAGGTTTTTGATTGTTATCTGGTCAAGATGAGCATTTTGATGGCACTACTTTTGCATCCCATGCTTGGATCTTTATTTATCATTAGTTATGGCTTATATAGATAAAATAATTAGATAATTGGTTATAAATCGCTAAAACGAGTAGCACGATATACCCAAAACAAAGAGACGGGGTAGCAAGAGAGGAAAGGAATCCCAGATTTGCCCCACCAACAACATTGTCCAATGAAATGAACATGTAGGATAAGCAAACCATTTTATATGAGCTTGTGCATATAGTTTGAAGCGGGAGGTTGTGCAGGACATGAAACCTGTGCTGGGACACAGCCTGCAAAGTTAGTGCGGAGGTGGGATATCTGGGGGAGAGGATATCTTACAGCTGGGACTACATCGCCCCCATCTGGCTTTTTGGAGAAAAGCAGCAAGGACAAGAATCTCGGAAAGAAAAAAAAAGCAAATTCATCAAGTTAAGGAGAGTCTGGATGTTTTTCATTACCTAACAGTAAAGTCCTTGAGTCTTGGTAATGAACACTGAGTTGTGTATACTTTTGAAGTATAATGCCTGGTTGCCTGTATTTTAGATAGCTCGTGGTGAGAAAGTGTAATGAAGTATAACTCAGCTTGCTCAAATGATACAGTATTTACTACTCAAGTAACGTGAAACACTGTAAGCCCCGTGAAGCATTCACGGGGCTTACAGTGCTGCGTTCACCCCCTTCCCATTTAATCACTTGTCAGATCATCAAACAAATGTTAATATCAGAAAATGATAATCAAATGGTAAATGGCCTGCATTTGTATAGCGCTTTTCTAGTCCCTTAGGACCCCAAAGCGCTTCACACTACATTCAGTCATTCACCCATTCACACACACATTCACACACTGGCGATGGCAAGCTACATAGATTAACACAATATTTTATAATTATTATTTATTTTTTTAAAGAGAAAATGAACCAAACCTACTTGCCCCTATTAAATCATGAATGACCGGGGTTAAATTTCAATTCCACTAGCCAGAGCCAGGCCTGATTACTGGCAGAAGCACTGAATCAAGTTAAATAACAAAATGAAATAGACTAAAAGATCTCATAAAACAACAGCTGAGAAGCAAAATGATTGACAACTATCAGTCTAGATGGTGCTACAAATGTACAATTACATCATTCACAGGCAGAAAGGTTTTCTATCAGGGAGTTTTCCTTTCATCCCTTTATCTGGATAAAAACAGAAATTCTCTCTTGAGAAGGAGAGACTCCAAAGGGAAACTTTGATATTTAAGATCATTGTTTGAGGACACCGGGCATCATGGTGGTCCAGTGGTTAGGACTCTTGCTTCAAAGCAAGAAGTCGCTGGGTTTGAATTCATCTCACTGGTAGGGGTCGTTTCTGTGTGACGTTTGGATGGTTTCCCCTGATAATCTAGTTTTCTCCCACAGTCCAATAGTAAATTGGACCATACCTGTCTAGAATATGTCCCCTTTGCCCTGTGACAGCGGGGATAGGGTCCAGCTTTAGTAGGTGTTGACCAAAATGAAAAGACATCGTGGATGGTTTGTGGGAAGTCTTTATTTTATTATAAACTATGTGATGAAGTCAAGTTATTCAGCAGACATCTGCCCCTCCCTGAGCCTGGTTCTGCCGGAGGTCTCTTCCTGTTAAAGGGGAAGAAACCACTGTTGCCACGTTCATGTTCAAAGTGAGTCATCTGATTGTTTTCTCTGTATCATTGTGTTATTGTATTTTTTGTATTATTGCAGGGTATCTACCTTTCAATATAAAATGCCTTACGATGACTGCTGTTGCGTTTTTCTGTTACATAAATGAAATTGAAATGAATTTTAATTATACCATTATCATCTCTGTGTATATGAGCAAAATAGGTGACTGGTTTTATTCTAAAGATACAGACTGGTGAAGCTCTCTAAGAAAAAAGGGACAGCTGTACAATTAAATGGGTTGCAATGACTTTGCTCTCCCTGAACAAAAATATGCTGGTCTGCCTGGTTGTGTGGCGCTGGGGGTCCAGCACCTGTGTAAACAGTATGAGAAAATGATACAGGAACATGGCCACTCAGCTCGCTGCAGAGTTTGCAGCAAAGAGGAGAATTTGAGGAATGACAAAACTCAACTCCTGACAGTGGACATACAAAAGAGAAAGATTTGATCAGGTTTTTTCAATTCAGGCAAATATTCTGAACAAACCAAACTTACTCAGCATCAGAGAGGCTGATACATGTTTGATGTTAGGACAACACCCCTGTGTCTTCTATAAGGCAATAGGACTATTAGGTTCTGTCAGTTATTCTTTGAACTTCTCTTTTTAGTTTTTCTGACTTTTTCAAACTGAGCTCAAAGGTTACTTTTACATCCTCATCCCCTTGACTCATGCTATATGGAACCAAGAATGGCGTTCAAACAACTGGACTTCAGAATGGTCATATCTGGGCAACTGAATGGCTTTGCAAAGTGATAATAGAAGTCGATAATAATGCTATATTGGATATCTCAAGATTTTTAGATCGTAAAGGATTAAAAACATTGTTACTCTTTAGTTTTAAAACGCACGTGAAGGTTTTGCGCCTTTGTATAGCCACTATGATGTATTACAGCGGTGTAAGCTGTAATGCACAAGTAAAAACTAGCACACTTCCATCTGTTAATCATCTGTTTTGTAAATTATGGAGGTTTTTTTGGTCCACCCCAGATAGGATCAAATTGGGCTGTATGTGTCCCACGGACCTGAATGATTCTGGGAAGAAGAACCCACTTTCAGCCCCTCCTTGTAGCACCACTCCGAGAGCAGCGGGCAAAACACTACCTGGGCTGTGCTCTATCAAGGTAAACAGAGCTAACGGGTACAACCGGCCAATATTTTCAAAATAAGTTTCTTGTTTAAAGAAATGCGTTGCCCTTCGCTTGAAATCGAAGCGTAGTTTGCCAACTTAAAACACATTATTTCATAAACTACCATTAAATTAAGATAAGCATCACGCGTCACGTTTACTTTCGCCTGTCACGCGTTTACGTTTTTATTTTGAAGACATCCTCATACAGTTCCGGCACCGCTCGGATTTTTTCTTGGTAAATTGACATCGCTGGTTAACGGCAGCCTGGTTGCTAGACGACTCAATCTGCGACGCCGATGAGAAATCAGTAACCTCTGTACCGAAAGACAGCAGCATTTTAACAGTTTTAAGGAAGCTATGCTCTACAGCCCACGTTACCGTATGAACTGCTTATTATTAAGGAAAGTTAGCTGTCCCAAAACATTCCCAGTTGTAGCATAGCTAGCGTCTCTTTTGTTGCCCCCCTGTGTATTTCTTAGCAAGAGAGGAGGCGACGTGAAGTAAGATTTGGGAGTTGGGAAAAGATGACCGAATTAGAAGTGGAAAAAGTCGAGTTTTCCAACCTAACATAACATTTACTTACTAGCGATGTTCAGTGCCAACGCTAAGACGTCTTTTCAGGCGAGTGATGTCCAAACAGATGAAGACTACGAGGAGCTGGTGAGTGTTCTGATCTGACTGGGTTAAAGATACAGCTGTTTACTTAAAACTGACTTTACAGTGGTTCTTGTTGGAATTGCTTATTAAAAGCCTATAAGGTTCTATAATTTAAAGCCATGGTAGTTTGTGGCAGTTGTTTTCAGCACTTTTGACTTCTCAATCAGAGGGGATTTCTGTCTTAGTATGGGTGTCTTACGCCTCCTAGGTTGAGGATGGCTTCTCGCTCCCTGCTGATGTTCCAGTAAAGGTAAACAAATGGACTCGTGAATCTAATCTGTGCCACATGAACACATTGTTATGTCTTTGTTTTTATGGCTGGGACATTTCCTTTGCTTTCGACGTGCTCTTCCGCATGAAACCAGTTTCATAAATACTCCTGTCATCTGCTTTGCCCCCTTCGTGTTTGTCCTCTATCAGAAAACGAAAAAGAAAGTCTCTTCTGGCAAGCCTCCTCCTTCTCCAGGTGAGTCCTGTTCGGCTGCACTGTAGGTAGTATTTTCAGACTCTGTGGGAAAACCCACCTTGAAAGTTATGTTTGCTTTTGTATTTGTAGGGTCTCCATACCTCACCAGTCTGAATGTGAATCACAGGAGAGCAGCAGTGGGTGCTTGGAGACTACCAAGGGCCTCTCTGGGGGACACCAGATTGGACACTCCCGGGGAGACTGGCCCAGCTCGCCTTACTTCCCTCAGCAACGGCCTTGGTAGGTGTCATGAAGGCACAACAAGCTCTGTGAATGGTGCCTACATAAATACATTCACAGTGAATGGGTTTATCTGCTTGCTTGAAATGAAAGAGTTTATGGAAGGCTATACAGCAAAAACAAGGAGGTAAAGGGAAATATAGGTTTTCAGTGATTTCGTCACATATCTGAACTTAAATGCATTATTCATGCTCTGCAGCGTGTCCTCGAAAAGTGTGAAAAGGCATGAGTCAGATGCAGTATTGACTCGTGTTGGAACAGTTTGTGTAAGCCAAACTTCTTTTTAATGTTTATTAGCACATCACCTAGGCTTAAAAACAAGCATGGCACAGACATCTAACACTGCGTTATTAAAAACAATAGAAATCTGCCAAATGAATCAGGAAACCGAAGCATGTTGACAAGTAGCCTCTGTCTGTTTCTCTTTTTCAGATGTGTCTCAAACTCTGAGATCAGAGTGTGACGCCACACCAGAGCTCCTCATGCAGACCCTGAGCACGAGGAAATCCAAACATCTCCGCTCTGCTTCCAACGGTGAGAGAACGCGTTTGTGTATCAGACTTAGAAATGGAGCGAAGAGGGAGACAGAGCTGAAGGTCAGGTTTTTGTGCTGAACAGGAGACGCTTAAAAAAAGGAACAATACTGGCTGTGAAGGGAGTATGATGTGATATTAGTGCAGTCAGTGTTGTTTTTCAAGACTTACAAAGCCAAGCATGTGTTGTCTTCTTTGTGAAATCATTTACCTTCTCCCATCATTTGCAGGTTTGACTTTAGTTACAAGTGATTTCATGAAGAAGGAGGACATGTACGATGAGATCATTCACCTCAAGAAGGTAAGGAGTAACACAATCACACGTTAAAACAAGACATGCATGCCTGCACATCGGTGTAGTGACTTTTCCATCTCGTTTTTGTTCTTCTTCTCAAAAATTCTTCTTCTTTAATTTAGTCAGGCTTCTTTAAAATGTAAATCCTTATGCACTTATTATATGTTTGAGTAGTCACTGGTGCTGTTCTCTGCAGAGCCTTCATGAGCAGAAATCTGACAACCAGCAAATGAAAGCCAAAATACGACGCCTGGAGGAAGACAATGCCAAGAGAGAGAAACAGATAGAATCACTGTTGGATCCCACTAAGGTAAGAACAGAAAATTATTTGTTTTTTATTTTTTCGTGTGTAGTTTTTTTGTCAAAGAAACTAAAATGATGGAGAAAAAAAACCCCAACTGTGCAATGTTTTTCCTGTAGGGATCTGAATATACGCGTAGTTTGGTAGATAGGAAAAGAGAAGGGAGCGTGGTGAGTATACCCAGTGGGTTAGTGAACATGCCGGGAATAAATGTAATTTTTAGGATGTGTTTATAACAAGAAAAGCTGATCCTCTTTGTCAAGGTTATCAATGGACTGAGGCAGAGGATCCTAAAGCTGGAGCAGCAGTGCAGAGAGAAAGAAAACGCCCTGAGGTAATGCCGTCCTCCAACTTTGTCTCTGTATGTTTGGTTTCTGTGTAAAACAGAATGATGCTCATGTGATTTATTTATTTTTTTGCTTGTTCAGTAAACTGCAAAGTGAGCTGAGGGCCACCAACCTGGAAGAACTGAAGATTCGAGTCAAATCATACTTTGAGGAGGTAAAATCAGACCCACTTTGCCCACTGTGAGCTTGGTGGTGTGTAAAGGAGTTCAGTAAAGTGGGTCTGTCTGCCTTTCCTTTTAGATCCAGAGACTGAGGATGCTTCTAGAAGCAGCTGAGAAAAGGTGACTGACACACACGTGTCTGAGTGTAGCCGAGTTCAGGAGAATCACGGATCTCCGTCGTCATCATTATAAAAAGTTAACGAATAAACGAGTACGTTTCTGGCATTGAGACTTCCTTTCCTGCTCTGTTGCAGCTGTCGAGCCGAGAGCAAATGCTCCCAGAGGCAGCAAAAAGCTTTGAGCTTCACAGTTCACCGTCTGACTGAGAACCTGGAGCAGCTTCAACAAGAGAACGTGGCACTCAGAGAAGAACTCAACACCGACAGTCCTGCTGGAGGAGCCAAAGGTCTTTTCTCACACGCCACAACGTAGTGCTGAAAAAACCAGCAAGAGTCAGATATCAGTGTAAAACGCCTACAACTCGCTGTATATTTTACATACAGTATGTACATATAAAACCAGGAGGAGTAAAAAAACAATGATACTGGAACCAGTGTGTTCTATATGTTAATTTAGGGTCCCGTTAAAGGAGCTTGTACTAGAAACATGCCTTCCTGTCTCCTAGTAAAGCTCACTGCTATAAAACAATTGTATTGTTTTTAAATCCTAATTGGTTAATACTGTTTTTCTTTATGATCTACATAGGCTGCCATTACTGATTACATTCCAGCTAACATTAAGTGCAATGCAAAGACAAAGGAAACAAAGGAATTGGTATTAGTCTTTACATCTGTGCCTTTGGGCGAAAGGGGCAAAAAGTCCTTGTGGTCATGGATGCAGGCAGCTTCCAGAAGACTCAAAAGTTGTAGTTTTTAAAGCCACAACTAAAACCAAATGCTGTGCCTCCAATTAAACACACAAGGAGACTAAATGCACTTTGGTCACAAGTGAAAATCCTGGAGATCAAGAGGATGGTCATAAAGTGGTTACAGTTTTCTGCTGTGTGCTGAAATGTTACTGAAAATAGTGTAATGATGTGTCCCAGATTACAGAGAGTGGAGTAAACAGAGACTGTTGAGACGGCTGTTGGAGGTGGAGAAGGTGAGAGGAAGCCGTAACCAGTTGTTCATGTAAACACGAGCAGTTGCCTGCCTCTGTTTCTAAGCTCGCAGCTAACAGACTCTCTCCTCCTGTCAGAGGCTGGAAGACAGCAAAAGACACGCCCAGTCACCAAAGAGCGCCATCCTATTGGATAAGGAAGTCCAGATCACACTCACTGAGAGTCTGGCATTTACCATGGCAACAGAGGCAGTGGTCTCCGGGGGAACGCTCACTGATGAAAGGGAGGAGGTTTCGGAGTTGAGGGAACGCTTGAGCCAATTGGAGGAGGAGAAAATGGCACTTGAAGAGTTGCTGTCAAGTAGAGAGTGAGTGACGAGCAGCCTGAGACTGCTCAGTTAAAAAACAAAACACCACTTCTAAATGTAAAAGTCTAATAAATGAATGATGTGAACCTGCCACATTATTACATCCGTAACAGCAGCTGTTGTTCTCTATACTTAATCTGTGTTGTCTGTGGTTCCAGTGATGAACTGAAACAGCTGAAGGCTGAAAGAGAAAAACTTGAGAAAGCGACAAAACAGTGGAAAGCTGAACAGAAAAAACTACACGATGAAGAGAGACGGCAGCATAAGTACACTTTCACTCCTGCATTTGGTGTTTGACATGGATGTGATTCAGTGTGTCCACACTTTTCTTCAATTTGCATTGTTCATAAAATTGATCATTGTAGTTTTAAGTTAAAAGCCAAATGTAATTCCATTTCAAGTCTTAAGTAATAGATAAATATGTACTAATAATACTAATACTAATAATTATGATGATTTGCAGGTGGAGTTTGCTTTTCATGCAAAGTTGTGTTTATTTACTGCTTTGCACGCGTGTGTTTTGTGTTTCCCAGACAGGAGTTGAAACAGTTGCGAACTCGGATCCAAACTCTGGAGGAGGAAAACAGTAAACTTGCACAGGCTGAGCTTTCCTCTCTTCCTCCCACATTGGCAGAGGAGACTCAGGGCAGCACAGGTGTGAGAGAGGGAGAGGAGAGGGACACGGGGAGCAAAGAGGAGGCAGAGGGAGGTGAGGAATCAGTCACAGATGACGGAGAGAAAGAAGAAATGGAGAAAGCAGCATTAGACATTCAGATATGCTGGAGGGAGCACAGAAACAGGGTATGTAACACGCTTATGCAAAGGAAGTTATTAATATCTGATAGAAATGTTATGTAAAAAAAAAAATGTCTAGACACTGGCCCAGATTTCTCTTTCTGTCCATATCCGTCCTCTGCATTCTCTTTTAAGGACACGGTGATGCTGCAGTCAGCTTTAAGAGGCCACCTCTTCAGAGACTCACAGCTGAAGGAGCTACCGGAAGATGCACTGAATCAGGTTTTACCCACACGCTTCCATGCGATGCACTCATATCAAGCCGTACTTGTAAAGCATCGAGAACAGTGTACTAATAAAAACAATAAATGCTACTTTTCATGGATACTTGAAGACTCATGTCTCATGTTAAGGTTAATTTGAGCATAACCAGTGCTGATTTTGTTTTTCTAATGCTGGGTAATGATCAGCAGGTGTGTGAATGAAGGACTTAAATGTAATTTTGTTGTTCTTTCTTTTTTTCCCTTCAAACCCAAACAAAAGGGGGAAAATTGATTAAACCAGAAATTACTTGTGTGCTGATGTCTTTACTTCCAACAATCCTACTAGAGATCATGATGTCCTTAATAAGCCAGAGTCAGCGTTGCAGCTAACACAAATAACCACTAGGTGGCTCTAAAAAACATTTTTTGGTGGGTTGGCTGTAAGCTTTTGTCCCTGCTGAACCTTTCTTATCTCTTCCCCCTTTTTTGCTGTTTCCAGGTTGAAAAATCCTCAAACTTCAGCGATGAAGCTTCCTCCGTTGGTGACACGCTGGATGATGACGCCTTGACGATGATACAGTCGGCATGCAGGGGACATCTGGCTCGATGTAGTCTTGCACAAGGAAGGTGACTCATTTATGCACTGGATTAAAAACCAAAACAACAAACAAACAGTCAAACCAAAGAAAAAAATCCACAATTGCTTGTTTGCGTTTGTGTGTTAGGTCTGTGCCTTCTTTAATGGAAAACAATTTTCCCACGCTGGCACCAAGAGGAAGTGCATTACCACACCCACCCAGCAAAAAAGGTGAGGTTCTCGCCATCTTTTAAAAATTGTTTCTATGCAAACACATCCACAGCAAACTATCAAAATATTCATCAGAACACAGCAAAAAACCAAACAAAGTCACAGCGCTCCATCCATCTTCAGTTCAGGGATAGGGGTTGATGCACCCCAACACGCTGTACAAATGTATTCAGTGCCTTCGTGCTACACTGTAACTGCTCAGTGCTCAGACTTCATATTCACTGATGTATGCACCTCCCTGCTCTCAGGTTCCAAATCACTTATGATTCCTTCCCCCCGGCACTGCTTTGAGTATTGATGGATTTCGCTGGAGCAGTAATGTAATTCTATTGTCCCTGTCTGCTCAGCACCAGCGAGGGCACCGTCTGCCTCAAATAAAATAAAGACTTAAGAGGGCACTCAGCAGACCTTCACACCACTACTGCCTCTACTTTACTAGGAGTAAAAAAGACTGTTTAGGAGCTTAAGAACTGTTTAAACAGAGGCGCAAATGACAAGAAGAAAAAAAGAGTTTGGAAAAATATCCCCCAAACTCTCTGCAAGTAATTCAATGTTAATTAAACTTTACAGAATTATATTTAATGCGCTCACGTCAAGCGATCGCAACATCCGCGATGACTCAGGTCTGTCGCAGCTTCCCATCAGCAGAGCCATCACACAAACGATTGCAGGGATTTGACTGTGTCATGCTGTGATGCAGTTCATTTCAGCGCCGAAGTAGAACCATTTTTTCCTGTTAAATGCCAAAATAGGAAATCAGATGATGACAGTGATTAATTATGAACAGATCGAATGAGCGTGAACTTTCCATGTGACTGAACCGCTCTGTGAATTATCCTCAATCCTTCCTAAGCAAGAAAGTTAGGAGTTCTCTGAGAACATTGTGCGAAGCTGTTTCTGTTTCAGGAGTCCTGCCTTCACATCTGTCTGCCCTAACTGACTCCCCCATTACTTTCCCCGCCATGTCCCAGAGTATTGAGCATGTCACAGCATGCTTGTGCATAGAGCAAAGCAGTGATGTCAGCATTTTTCCCCCTATAATCTTACAAGGATGCCTCTGCATTTGATACCTTGTGGGCTTCACTGAGAGAGTTTAACCTGCATCGTTCCAGCTTCTTTTCGATTTCTTATGGAGCTTTACAGTGTGTCGTATTGTGTCATGCTTCACTGGGTACATTGTAGTTATATTTTATAAGTTGTAAAGGACAGCCTCCAGTGAAGCTGTTTTTTACCATCTTCATTTGATGTTTTTAATAATGTGGTGAAAGGCCTATCATGAACAACATGAACTCCCTCGCTGAGCTGTTCTAGATTCCTACAGACAGGGTTTTATTTGTTGAAAAGTTTAGTCAATGCCACGAGAGAAGAAATGGTCCATATTTAAATGCATGCTGTTAGCACTATAGCATCTGTACATGTGTCTCTGAGGGTGTGGCTGAATGGCATTAATTACTCTTTGCTGTTCTGTTAATAAGATGCTGCATCTCTCAGTGATGATGGTGAAGAGGAAGGTGTAAAGAAAAATAGCCGGCCTGCGTCTAACATCTCTGCCTCCAGGAAGACACTCACAAAAGGTCAGACAGAGGTCACAGCAAGTGTTTATTTGTTTCATGGCCTTTGTTCTTAAATGTAAGTGTTAAAGGTAATTATAGAGGAGTGCGTCCACACACCTATAAACATGCGTGCTGTATGTCTCCTGCAGCCCAGAGCGAGTCTCGTGACATCGATGAAGACGCCGCTTTCTATTCTGATGATTCTGATGACATCATCGTGTCTCCGTCACGCCCATCGAGAAGCTGAGTAGTCACTAAGTATAGTTACTGAGTATAGTTACTAAGAAGTTTAACTTCTTACTGAAGCTGCAAATAAAAGCTGGGCTGTTCCAATAATGTTTGTAATATCAATAACAATATTCACTGTGTAACACGAGCTGCTCCCATGCCAATGCCAATAACAGGAATATTCTCAGAATGTGTCTCAGTGTTGATGTAAGGTTATGAGATGTTTTTTTTTTCTTTTCTTTAATCAGACAAGAACATAAAACGAACAGCCCATTTTAGTTGAGTGTGTTATTCTTGAGCCAAATATCTCTTTTTAATTAGTCAGATTTATTTTTGTTTCTTTTTGCCTGCTGCATGGGAATTCAAATTGAAATTACAGTAATAAATGCATTCATTTCTGCTAACCTAGCAGGCATCGCTTTAAATTCATCTGGCTTCATCAGGCTGTAATAATCCATAAAATCACATTTGCACATGCCTTATTTGGTAATACATGAAAGTCAGCACACTAATATATTTTGCATTCTTAGTTCGTTATAGCTGAGTCTGCGGTGTGGTTGAGGGACAGCTCTTAACTGATGCACTATTGAGCCAAACTGTGAATAAGTTATAGATCAGGCTGCTGCAATACTGAAACGGTGAGAGCAGGGGAGGATACACAGGGACTGTGTCTAATGCCAATAATACTTGTGCTTTAAAACAGACAAATGAGTCAATAAAATCAACGATCGAGTGCATTTGTCTCCACATGATCAGTGTAACTTAATTTCTGATACAGTAAATAAAATGTTTTTCTAATAAAATCTCCAGTCTCATGGGGTCCTTCCCAGAAACTTACCTGTACTTACATTTTGTGCTTATTTTCCCAAACACTTCTGAGAGAAGTAGCATGTACCCCCTATTTTTTTGTTGTTGTTACACCCTTTGTGTCCATACACTTCTTAATGTTTGAAGTCAGCTAATATCAGTTCCACTGTGTATAAAATCAAGCACATAGCCATGCCGTCTGTCTTTACAAACCTTTGTGAATAATGTGTAGTTTTAAAGAGATGGCTGAGTGTTGTGCTGTAATAGGAAACACAACAAAAGCTGATTGAGGTGTAGTGTGAAAAAAATCACCAACACTCTGCTGACTTTAGAACTGCACAGCTCCAGACCTGCTCTGGCACTGAGGATTGTACAAAAACCTCCAACAGTATCATGATCAAGAGTTTTAGCTGAAACAAAAGAGAAACTCTTTACTAAAACTCCTCAGAATAGTGACAGAGTTAAGTGTCATTACTCCATAATGTTGTTTATGGATCTCTTCTCATGTAGAGAATAAGTCTGAGAACAAAAGGGGTGCCTCTGGGGAAAACACAGAGAACAACCAGTGAAATATAGGATTTTATTTCAAAATGTATGTATTTGAAATTAGCCCAGTGTTAAAAGTACAAGTGAAAATATAATTTCTATGTATTTATTATAATGTAATAAAAAATCACCCTCAACACTGAAGATGTGCATCCCCTGAGTCTGCAACCCTCAACCTCTGATATCATATTTATTTATATTTATTATTGGTAGGAGACATTAATATTGTTTGGGACTGTTTTTCTGATTTTTTTTTTTTCAAATTTGGAAATATTCCAGGAAAACATTTAAAACAATTTCTAGTGAAAGACCCATTGTGTTGCTTTCCACCTGTCTCGTAGTCATATAGGCTTTCTAAAATAATCTTCACCATTGTGGAGGATAAAACGTCTAATGTGTACTTCCACCACTTCAACACCAGGGGGAGGCTTTTTTGCGCATTTGCCCTCTCACACACACATCTACAAACTCAGGCGCGCGCGTGCAGAAATACACGCGCTCACACGCGCGCGGAGCTGCCGCAAAGCCCCGTCCTTCAGGGCTTTTAAAGCACCGTGTTTGCTTCACGCTCCAACAATACCATCCAATTGAAGAGCCACAACGCTGAACCGGCGGTCACTGTGGGAAGACCGCCGACGAGCACGAACCGTGAGCAGGGGAGGACAGCAAATGTATTATTATTAAAAAAATAGATAGTGGTTTGCTGGTCAGATAATTTAACCCCTAATCTGCCGTGACGCTTTTGCGGAGGGTGAAGGCAGTCGAAACGGGAGGACGTCTCGGTGAAATGTGAGCGGACCGGGTCGGTGACCGTTATTCCGTTCTTTTCAATGTGGATGGGACTACAAGCGACTCGCTCGTTGCAGCTAGCTCGGTCCGGCCGCGTTGATGCAGCAACAGCGCACGGCTGTCGTGCTCAAATCTACCGCCGGATTCGGGAAGACAATAGGTGAACTATACGCCGGTCTGGACCTCCAAGACTATACCAAACGAGGGTCTGAATCCGCTTGGGCTTCACTAGGTAGGTCATAACACGGTTCCTACCCACCCCAGCACACGGACTTGGATGTCCACAGGCACGCAAACCTCAAAATGAATTCTTCCTTTTCTCCCTTCTCGTTGCCTTGACGACTCTGTGGTACTGCGGTAGATTTAATGGACAAAGCGGGATAGAGCTAGCTAATCTGGGTTTGCTAACATTTTATTGAGCGCTGCGATAGATAAATAAGGCTTGAATGCTGAATGTGTAAGGGTACCCGCGAAGGGGCTGACCTACATGTACCCATACAGTAAATTCAGTACAACGGCCATTCCCCCCC